ATATATATATTTAACAGTTGCTGTATCACAACATACCAGTAAAAAGACGTAGCGATCGTCTACTGGTTTTTAGGTTCAACAAATAAATATCCTTGCTATTACTAAGCTCATTCCTTGTTGAAACAATTTTATGTACAAGAGTGCCATAACAAACTGAAAAACCCACACTTTTAAAAATGTATTTAATCGCTTACGCAAAATCTTTCATGATTTGTATGCCGAATGATTCAATTTTTTTTTTGAATCATTACTAAATTTTTTGTGAATCATTGTTGAATGCTTTGTGAATCATATGTTAATCATCCGTAAATTTTTTTTGTTTTTTCTTATAAGTTGTATCAGTACACCGCAGATAAAGGACTTAGCTCACACCTTTATATTTTACAGTATAAAAATGTTTTTGAACCAACAGCTAGATCGTCTTTCTCCAGGCTTGTTTTAAAGCTGTATTCACAGACTTATTGGTAGGAGCACACTTATTAACGATAAAAAAATATAAGTCCTTGTGCCGAACCCATATGTTATTTTCCCAATCAATATGTGTTAGGTGTACCACATACGCACACATTATCCAGATGTAGAATATTTAGAAGCCAGTCCAACCTCTTTTTAATTTCAACTGTCGTACCTCAATAGGGCTAACGAGTTGTCAAATACAGCTCAGAAGACGCTAGAGAGAAGAGCGCCCGGTTTACAGTAGAAAGTATTTCTAAACATCCCTTCAAAACATGGCACTGCATACACAGATATAATTTATGTCCTAAAATGAGCTAATCCCATTGATTGGAGGATCTTCTCACTAACACCCTCAGAGCTGAGCTTGCCTACTCGCTAGCCCCATTGGCAGAACTTCTGACTGGATGGTAGGAAGATGTGATTAACCCTACTTTTTATTAAGTTTCCAACGTTGATAATTTTATTACTTATCAAATATTCTTTATGTATAATAAATTAAAAAGATTCGTGTATACAAATAAGTAATTTCTTTAAAAAATGTTTTACTATTTCAACCGGCGAAATTCCCGCACGATTACTATATAAGCGCGATCGAGATAGTCTAAGCCCACACTTTCTCTATGTCTAAGGCAGGGAGCACGTCATCAGCCTTACTGATGAGTCCTGGCGTGCTCTCGGGACGAAACACCTTTTTCTCTCTTATAGACGACCTCTTCGATCTCTATATATGTA